TCTATGTGAAGGAAGCAATATTACTGCTTCTCTTGCGATCCCTTCATCATTTTTTACCAGTTCTGAAATGCGGCCTATTTTCCACTGGTAGCGCGGTTGAAGGGCATCATTAATTAACACAATTTTTCCCGTTTCAGGTATTAAGCGGGATCCGCGCTTTTTTCCTATTTCCCTCTGGTGTTTCTCTCGTAGCGATGTTATGTACTGCGATTGCCAAATTTGCCAGAATTTTTCAGTCATTTGGCATGAACTCTTCAAGGCTTGGAGCGTCTGGTTTTTTGTCTGGAGAGCGATGCGTTCCGCTGGAGTCACGTATTGGGGATCCGTACTGTCGTCCTCTGTCGCCTCCAACGACATTGGTGCCTCAAATTCATTTTGTAAGAAATCTATTGGTCGTAGCACTCGATCAGTATCCGATTCTGACTCTACATACACAAGTGGCCTGGTATTCAGCATTCCTTCGATTTCTATAATCAGAGTGCCTAGTTCCTCACGCGACGGTGTGACTTTACCCAGAGACTTATGCAGGGCTAATTTGACCGACTGAATGAGGCGTTCGTATACACCTCCCTGCCAGGGTGCGTATGGTGTAATGTAAATCCACTGGATTAGCCGGTTACTAATTTCCCTTCTTATATTCTCATCATTTTTGACTTGCTGGATACACTCGGATAAAATCGTGTCCCCTAACGCGAAGGTCGGAGAATTGTCACTTGTTATGGACAGCGGAACACCTCTTCTGGAAAAAAATCGACGCAGCATTTGGAGAAACGCGAGTGTCGAAAGGTCCGCTACCGTATCCAGGTGTATCAGTCTGGTCACAAGGCATGTTATTATGCATCCGTAACACTTCTCAATTCGGTCGTCATTTTTAACAGATAAAGGTCCAAAATAGTCCAGCCCCACGTGTGCAAACGGACGTGACCTAGTGACCCTGCGAGAGGGTAAATGACTCTGTTCAGGATATTTGTACTGCAAATTATTCATTTTTTGACATTTTATGCAGCGCCTTATCATTTTTGTCACCTCTGCTCGTAGTTGCGGGATCCAGTAACTTTCTCGCACGCGGCACATAGTATGGCTTGTACTCAGGTGGAGTTTACTATGGCATTCTGCTATGATGTTCTGCGAAAGCCATGACCTTTGAAGTACGAGCATGGGGAACTTGGCCGACTCTTCTAAATCGCTCCTCCCTAACCGCCCACGGCATCTCAGGATACCGTACTCGTCCATGTAGAGGTTAAGATGTGTGGAGCGATTTCAGGATTGAATGATTCATATGAGAAAGCTGATGTTGTTTGACTAACATCTTACTGGCCCTTCTCATTTCGCTGCCATTGATAATCCGTGATTCAGCTACACCTTCTTGTTCAAAGATAGGTGAAAGTCTAACTGGAGATTTCCTCTTCCTAATTTACGCGATCTACAAGCTTTTTAATAAATCGCATAACATATGCAACCACTGCGCTTTATGCTAAGAAAGGCTTGAGAAACGAATGCCTTGGAAGAGGTCTACGTGAACTTCCTTAGCATGCATCAATACGTAATTCTCCGTTCGACTTTCTTCGGCTTCTTCCGATCTTTCTTGTCCCTCTCCTAACTTTTCCAGAGTGATTGGTATGTGCGCGTCTGTCCAGGTTTCCCTCGGGCAGGAAAGGAACTCTGGACCGGTCCACCAAAAATGGTCTTGGAAACGCGTTTTGTCCAGTCCCCTCGTGGCGCAATCTGCCGGGTTAAGCTGCGTTGGTATATGCCCAACCTGCACCGAATAACCACCTTTTTCTAAATGTGCCACAATTTCTTGAATTTCGAAAACGCGATTCCTAATAAAAGGACCTATATCCTGGACGCGGCTTCGAACTTATCCAATTTAAGACAATCTCCGAATCACTCAGGACAAGGATCGATCTTATGGATACAGTAGATCCGATCTGGGATACCACTGAGTTGGTAAGACGCATCGCTAAGGTGAAAGCACTCAGTTCCATCTTGGGAATAGTCATTTTTGCTTTCAACGAGGGAAGCTTTCCTTTGGCCATTAACAAATCAGTCGATTGTGTGGAGCACAAATACGTACACGCGGCCATAGCTTCGTTGCTAGCATCTGCAAAGGTGACCAAATGGACTTCTGCATGCTTGTTTATCAGAAAACGCGGTAAATCCTTTTGGAATCCTTGCATGTCTCTGATAAGCTCTTCCCATGCAACTTTACGATCGTCTGAAAGGGAGTGTGTCCCACTCCAATTCATCTCTCCAGAGCGACTGTAGGAAGAGTTTCGCTCTGTGCACCAAGGGTAACATTAATCCCATGGGATCGTAAACTGACGCGAGGGAACCTGCTACCGTGCGTTTAGTCACCTTACTCGGTTCTATCATGTGGCATGTAACTTGCAGACTTATCCTCGTCTGCATTCCACCTGATATTCTAGGACTTTTGGTTCCCTCTCAATGGACCTGTCATCACTCGAGATTGTTTCCATGACGCTCTTATCATTTGAAACGAACTCTCGTAGATTCATTTTTAGCTCCCCAAAGATGGTCTTCGTCCTGGAATAAATGTGAGCGGCCTCATCCCTCGTCTCAGTCGTGAGGAGAAGATTATCTACGTAAAGATTCTCTTTGATGTCTTTACCAGGTCACTATCATTTGGGTATTGATCCAGGTGATAGTGGGTCGTTGCTGCTAGTAAAAACGGAGATGGAAGTAGACCAAAGGTTACGCGTGTGAACCTAAAAACCTTCAAATTACTCGCACAAGGGGGAGTTTTATGGTCCCGCAGCCATAAGCAACGCGTCGCATCCCTATCCACCTGGTGAAGCCGTATTTGTAGAAATGCTTTCTCTACGTCCGAAATCAACGCGATGCGCCCTATTCGAAATCGAAGTAGCATTCCGTAAAGTTTGGGCAGTATCACTGGCCCCCGATGCAACGCATCATTCAGGGAAGGGAATTTTTATAGTGCGCAGACGCGTCGAAAACTATGCGTATTTTCGTCCTGCTTTTATGAGGTGTGAGCACCGCCTGATGTGGAAGGGAATGGATTCTCCCCTCTACCGGTTGTTGCTCATCCGTGACCTCTTCTATGATCTCGGTGCGTGATTGCTCTTGGAAGATATCATTGTATTTTTCCAACAGCTCCTTGTCCTTCTGCAACGAGGTCCATACGCTCATCAGACGTCGCAACGCAATAGCCCTATTATCAGGTAGTTCTATAGGGATATCTTTCCACGGGAGACGTACATAGTAGCCATCGTCCTTCTTTTCTATCGTGTTGATGAAATTTTCCATAACTTTCTTATCTACCAGAGATTGTACTTCGCTTTCTGATCTGGCAAACTGTTCCGTTCCGTCTTGTTCCATGGACCAGTATCTATCCCACAAGGCCTTTTCGTCTAGATTTTCCGATGAGTGCTCTGATGAGAACGCGTTTACCTGAGCTTCTGATGTCCATAATTGTTCCCATTCCTCATCATTATTCCCACCTAGATTTTCATAGTCGCCCGTTGCCTTTACTACCGGTCTTTTCTCTTGGATCTGACCTGTAAGCAGATGTCCGAGATGTGTAGGTAAGAGCTGGAGGCCGGATGGGAGGCTAATGTGGGTTTCATCTTTCCGAAGAAGTTGCCAAAGCTGGTCGCAACCTAACAACACTAGTGGCTTCGTCTTCTCCTGTCTTTGGACCAAATTTATAGGCAAATTCAAGGATTTCAAGAACGCGATGTCTTCTTCTAAAACGGGAGGAGTTCTCAAGGTAGTCGTCAGGATGTCGTGCGTAAGGAGCACCAGAGAATATGGTTTTCCCTTATCATCCCAAATTTCTAGAGGCACTTTACGGCTGATACATTCCTGGACCTGTTCCGTCCCGAAGGTGCGGAGACGCAGCTTAGTTGTTCCGAGGGTGGGCAGATGTAATTCTTCTGCGAGAGTATTCAATAAATGAAAACTCTGCACCCGAATCCAGAAGCACCGCAATTTTTCTCAATTTCCTTGTTGTCGGGTCCATAGCTGTAATTTCCCCAATAGGTAGGTACGTTACGCGCTTGACCGTGTTTTCCTCACGCGATGGAGATTCTGTGGTTGACCCATCTTGTTCCTTATTATGGAGTACGGTAGCTCCTTGGTCCTGGCTAATCTGATGACTATTCGTAGAAGTAGGTCGTGATTTCTGTGAGGGTTTCGGCCTATCTTTCCCTGTGGGTGGGGAAGTCGAAGTCGCTGAAGGTTTCACTGTTGATGTCGAGTTCGTTTTCGGTGGAGGATCACTTTTGAAGCAGCAGGAAGTGTGATGCTTACCTTGGCAGACAAAACACTCCCGCCCTTTACATTGAGAAGTGAGGTGCTGAAGGGGACGCGCAAATGAAAACATATCCGTGGTCGGTGGTTCAGTGGTAGAATGCTCGCCGCCAACGCGGCGCCCGGGTCGATTCCCGGCCGATGCACCAATTGAAGACCTTCTCAACTTTTTCAACCAAAGCTCGCCAAACCAAATTTTGCCACGCGGGTATTTTGTGTTGCTCGAGAAGGCCCTCAAACTTGGGTAATTAAACCTTTATTCTAAATAAAATAATAAAAATAAATGCACGATTATTTGAGAAATCAAAAAATTCAAAAATCTCCCAAATTCGATCATTTTTAGCTGAGATATGAGTGAATAATGCATCGTGACCTACGGGGATTACAGAGACTACCAATAAATGAATTAAGCATGAAATAAATGAAATTAAAGCTGAAAAAACTCCTTTGCTACGCGAGCAAGAAACGCGAAAGGGCAGCTACGCGAATGACTCTTCTCCCTCCCGTCGATGCCCTTTTTATATGGAGAAGCCTCGTCGAGAACTGTAAGGACTCTAATCAGCCACCACGATCAAAAACATCATCTTCTATGCACGCAAAGTCCCATCGATTAGAAATCAAAGGAGTACATTGCATATAAATGAGAAAAGCATAAATGGATGATAAGATGATAATAAGCATAAGCATATGAATAAATGAGTGAATATATGAGGAAAATAAAAAATAAGTGAGTAAATTTGGACGGTTGCCGTCAACAAAGGTCTTCGCGTCTTAATCTTATAACTTGAACTTCAATTTTCCCTAGGAACAGCCGCAGCGAGCAGGGATCGTGTAGTATGAAAGTGCAACGTACGCAGGATAGTGCTATCATGTTTATGACTCAATTAACATGAATAGACATGAGAGTAAAACGGTGGATACGAGAGATTGTGCAAAGGAGGACAGGTCCTAGCGGCTCGCAACCGTCCCCAGTCGTCGGCGACTCCTTGACTGTCCTCAGCTTTTTCCCCTCGTTGTTGTCGTTCGGGGTTCGTCGCGGTCGTCCTATCAGTCCTCGAGATCTAAAAGAGAGAGAGTTGAGAACTATCAGAGGAATCGATTACAGTATCTCTACTAATAGTTACTTCCCTTACAAGTACAATCGAAATATTGACCATTCTTAGATTTCCAAAAAATTATCAAAATTCTCAAAGTTTCAAGCTATCGTTCCTAAAAATCCTTAAGCACTGGGTTCTACTTCTGCTACCGCGAAATAACCTGCAAATCCTGATTTTAATTCCTTCCCCAGAAAACCAAGCACACTGCCACTTATGTATGTGTGTATTGCGGACCCTTCAATGTTCATCTATAGCACACACCTGAACATCAATGCTTATTTATCAAGTATACAGTAGTGTGAACTGATTTATCTAATTTCAGAGCTTCTATTTTCTTCGAAGATCATCCTGTACAAAAATGGGATCTGCGATCGCCAATTCCCTATACATTTGATGCATCTTTAGGTAAGGTAGTTAGACAACCATTATACCCCCGTTTTTTTTTTTGAAGTCAGCGATTACGATGGCTGGAAAATGGTCCGGTTTCGATGGCGTTCATAGTCATTGCCAGGGTCTAGTTCACCATGACGTCATCAAAACCGCACCGCCGCACCGCCCTCCTGTCATTGTGAACCCTGCTTTTTAGTTCTTCTTCTGCCATTTCATCTAGTTTAGCTTTTACTTTTTTTCTTTTATCTTTTTTCTGGTATATTTTTTACGATCTTACCTTTCAGCCGAATTTGACAAAACGACGTCCGAAATGCTTTAAAGGAGATCGAAGAAAAAACCTGCATTCGTTTCGAATACCTCGCCACAGCACCGAAAGGATATCACATAAATTATCAAAAGGTGGACAGCGCGACATTGTGAGTAGTTTACTTGTCATCATATTGCTAATTGTTAAAAATATATAAAAAATATAACCTAAAAAATATAACCTGAAATGCAAATGCAAAGCAGTGCTTACGCAGAAATGAGTACTATACTACACCTTAGTGCTAAAAAAATAAGCAAGGAAGTGATCGAAGTTCTGATGTAGGGAAGTACCAGAGAGTGGATCTTCAAAAATTTTAGGACAGTAGTTTAAAAGGAGATCCCACACAAGGTAAAGGGCACACGTTTTTTTGTAAGCAGTAATGCGGGCCCACAAGACAGAATAGTGCTACTGTCGCGATTTGAAGGTTGCTGGCTTAATTAGAGCCAGGGTTATCTTGTTGGGGCTATACGTTAGGTGTCTGCGTCTACTCATATGTTACGCGCTCTTTTCTCAAAGTATGTTCTCTTCAGCGGCGAGGTGTTTGTTTGAGTGCCTGCTTGCACTCGTCCACTAAGAAAAATGTTTCAGTAAAATTAAGGTTTTGACGATCTCTTTTCTCTTTTCTTCTTTTAGTCGTCCAGCTCACAATTTTTTTTAATATAAATAAAATTTCAACATAAATGCTTTTTATATATTAATTTAAATGAATTTTTAATATAAATGCCGGTTGCACCTATATAACTGACCGTGGAATGCGCCTGTGTAACAATGAGACTAATTTTTTTTTTTATCAAATCTCCATTCAGTGCGATTTCTTTAACGTCCAAAGTAACTAGTTGTTTAGTTGCGGCCTCTCGTATATTGGGAGAGTGGAGCCAGCGAATCCAGTTTATCTCAGCTTTCAGTGTGGAAATGTGAGTTCCCATCACAAATATTACTTACAGTAAAAATTATTTTGTTTCTGAAAGATAGGTTTTTCCCCATCTAATTTGCTTACAAATTAGGTAGGTGTACATAGTAGCGCGACTTAGAGTATATGTTTAGGTCAGCATTTCGAGCTTGCGCACTTTTATCTAACGTCAAAACCTCTCTTGTTACTTGAGGCTGCAGGTCGGTGTGGTGTCCACCAGCACAACCATCTTAAAGCAACAGTTCAGGGAGGGTCCGAAAATTTCAATGCCACTACTACTGAGGGATACACGAGCCCTAGTGAAGAACATATGCAGTGGAAATAATAAACGAACTTACCTCAGAAACTCAAAAACAGGGTGGAAAGTCCCTCAAACATGGGTGTTCTTGGGGATTTCCCCAATCCCGCCCCCTTGCCGGCCGTCATTGGACGCGTCGGCAATCGTGCTCGTTTTGGGACCACAGGGAAAATTGATTGAAAAATGGAGCGCGTTTACAGCGGGCACGTTCAGACAACTCGTCCAACGTGCGTCTTTATCCATTGCTGAGCGGCAGAGGGAGAGTACCTGTCTAAGACCCTCCCCGACGTTTTTTTCCAGTTTTTCATACATTAATCGTCTGGTTTTCATCTACAACTTCATTATTGGTGGTTTTTTCCCGCGAAACCGTTCCTGAACTGTTGCTTTAAGTGAGAAAAAGGGGTCCCCAACTACAAGAGCGCTATGTATCTCCCTCATACCACGGCCCACAACAAAAAGGATTTTTGCTTTTTCTCCCACACTTTCTTCATCACCCCCTCTTGTGTCTTCTTGTTTAATCTAAAACGAATAACGCACCAGTTCGATCGCGACCCGTTCCTTCAATTGAAATAAAAAAAAATCGGTGCTAACTTAGTTGTGGGGGGGCACACGGCGGCGCGGCAGTCTGCTCGCCTGGCATGTTCGGAAATCCGTGGGCCAGGGGGAGTGTAGCCAGCCTAGGGGGTGGGGGTGGGGCAGTCACTTGACATGCGTGAAAAGCTGGAATGTTCGAGTTTACACTGTCTCGCTCGAGAGAGCCCAGGTGAGCAGACTGCCGCGCGCCGCGTGCCCCCCCCCCCAACTAGGTTAGCACCAAAAATCTTGCCAAATTGTAGGAAAGCAATTTTAGGCAAGAGGAATCGCCATGCATGAAACACTTCATGCGCTCGGATTGAACCATGAACATCTACGAAGTGATCGTGACCAACACGTGAAGATTGATTGGAGTAACATCAATCCACAGCATTACGATTATTTTGTTATCGCTGATTCGAAGCTCTATACCACGTGAGTTTGATTAGTATTAAAACTTACAAGTTAGCAAGAATACTAGATAGCCGCTGCAACTTTTATTTTCTGTATATTTTTACGGAAAATTTCACGCTTCTACTTCCGCGGAACGAAGTTGCAACCGTCCAGTTCGATTAATTTTCCCGAAGTCTAGCGTTTCTCGGAAGGTTTGTGTAGGTTATGTAGGGTAGTGTTATAATACGTATTAATATATGTAAATTTTGGAAGCAGATCTGGCATCTCCCCAGGTTATGCGCAGATAACCAACTATTTTTTACGCTTACTTATTTTTGAAGAGTTACCCTAATTTCCGGTAGATAAGCCCGCGCTGATATCACGTAAAAACACCTCCACTGGTGCAGTGCACTTGCGTACATCTAGAGACAACCGTAACTTGCCCATAGGGGTAATTCGATATGCTGATTACGAAAACGACATTCATTTTTAGCGGTGGCGCCATCTGGCGCCAGTTGGCGTCACCTTGTCACGACCCTTGTTTTCACCAAAATCGGTGTAAACTTCTGTATAGGGGTTATTTGGTGCCCTGATTACGAATATGACATTCGTTTTTGGCATTAACGTTGTTCAACGTATATTGGAGAGCGCAGACGAGCAGAAAATAGGCGGCCATCGGCGTGAATGTGTTAATTAAAGACACATTCCCTCATCGAAACCCTTGTACATTTCTCAAAAACGAAAGCATTATAGAGTACCCTCAGTAAGGTAAAATCAAAAAACCGTCAAGAAAACTAGACCAAAAAAGGCGTTTTTACGGCATACGCGAGAGCACATGATGCAACAGAGACAAAATGAAGCAGAGGAAGCAAACTCAAGAAGGGACAGCCCCTTAGTCACGCACTTTCATACTCTAAAAACGAGGCACCGTCTATGATTTCGCATACAACTATACTCACAAAGGACGGTTCCAGCGGAATGTGTCTTCAAATATAGCATTATTATTATATATTTGCCGTCATATAGGCTGTAGCTTTGTTGCCTTCAATTGTTGTTCTATAGTTGTCGTATCGATTTTTTACGCAACATATTTAAAGCAACAGTTCAGGAACGGTTTCGCGGGAAAAAACCACCAATAATGAAGTTGTAGATGAAAACCAGACGATTAATGTATGAAAAACTGGAAAAAAACGTCGGGGAGGGTCTTAGACAGGTACTCTCCCTCTGCCGCTCAGCAATGGATAAAGACGCACGTTGGACGAGTTGTCTGAACGTGCCCGCTGTAAACGCGCTCCATTTTTCAATCAATTTTCCCTGTGGTCCCAAAACGAGCACGATTGCCGACGCGTCCAATGACGGCCGGCAAGGGGGCGGGATTGGGGAAATCCCCAAGAACACCCATGTTTGAGGGACTTTCCACCCTGTTTTTGAGTTTCTGAGGTAAGTTCGTTTATTATTTCCACTGCATATGTTCTTCACTAGGGCTCGTGTATCCCTCAGTAGTAGTGGCATTGAAATTTTCGGACCCTCCCTGAACTGTTGCTTTAAACACAGCTCCACTTACTGG